TCATCCAAATAGTCGGCAACGCCAGGGGCATCCTTCAGCACCGTATCCATGATCTGTTGAAATATGGCTGGAGCTATTTTGACAACGAATAGCAGTCGAGTGCACTGGAACAGATCTCAATGCGTGTTGATCGAGAGAAGTTCTTGGAATTCTTCCTCAACTTCAACCTGGAGGGTATTGATGGGTATCCAGCGCTGCGTTGAGACCGGCGGAGGAATCTGCGCACAACCGGATCCTCTCGTTAGCCTTCCTCACAAACACGATAGGTGCGGCCCAAGCAGAGTAGTAGGTTGGTTGGAGAACACACGCCTTCTAAAGCCGGTCCAGTTCTTGGTCGACGATAGGCAAGGCCGCATACGGCACTGGACGTATTGGCTTGAAGACTGGCTTTTCACCAGGAAGGAGGCACAGTCCGGCTCTTGCTTTTGTACACCGTCTAAGCTCGTCAGTGAATACAGATGCATTACGTTGTAGGAGGTACCCAAGTGAACGCTTTGGCAAATGAGTTTGTCCCGGTGCTGCGAGTATGCGGCTGAAAATAAAATTGATTAGCTTATCCAGCAGGTTTAGCTTTTCGATCCAACCTAACCCCATGAGATCAAGTTTGGGGCATTACGTCAGATAGCAGGTGGCTTGCGCCGTCGAGTCATTGAAGTTACTGAGGCAGTCAACCTCGCCAGTCAACTTCAGTTTACCACCGGAAGCATTACAAACCCAGTGTTCAGTCGGCTTTCCATGTGGCTTACCGACTCGCTTCTACGTTCGTTCACTGAGCAGCATGATATGGGAGCCAGTATCAAGTTGTAACCGAACTGGGATGTCGTTGATACGAACCGTCAGGAACTTCATTCGGCAAGCAAAATCAATTTTGAATGTTGCCGTCACCGACTTGGCCTGCGATTTGTGGGCTGCACGGTGGTGTGCGGGGGGCTACAGTCTTTGAGATCGACATAAATCTTCTTTGTGGCCGCGACGACTGCACCTGGAACATTTGTGACGCCTGAACCGGCAATAACGAGCAAAATGCCACTCACCG